TAATAATAATATATATATATATATATATATATATATATATATATATATATATATATATATATATATATATATATATATATATAAACCAAATAACAACTAAAGCTCCGCAGTACCAACTGTGTATCTGTTTCTATGCGCATTATGTGCATGTGAGGTAGGAAAAATTTACACTTTCAAGTGCTTTTAACTTTATACTTTCAAGTGCCTTTGAAACCCGATACTCCATTGGTTAATGCTATGAGCTTATTGCTGAGCTTAGTAGCAAACTGATTCCGGAATTCCGGTGATATTACATTTAACAGCTGATAAATCGTCTCAAAATAACGGGTATGCAAATCGAGCTGTCGATAATCGCCGTTCATACTATCGTGTCGATCTGATGCAACACGCCATCCACGTTGTGTTAATTCAATACAATACGTACGATCTGATAACATTAAAGTAATAACCGATTAAAGTAAAGTCAATTTGCTGAAATCCAAAACCTCCTGCAAATTGTAATGGATAAGAAAAAAAGGATTTCTAGGGCAAATTCTCTATTATGAGTTTTACATATACGACGGATAATACACTACTGCTTCTTCTCTTGTTTCGAAACATATCTTACGAGACTTCAGAGGAACGCTATACTTGTTGCTAATGATTCAAGGAACATTTCAACAACGCAAAATAAACAAACTGCACATGCAAATTATCATTAAATCACGTAAATAAGTAATTTAAGACAAAACAGCCAAATATAGTTGTCTTCACTACTAAAACAAGCTCGGGGCATGTCATGAGTGAGACGTGATAACACCCGTAAGATTTATTTAATTTTACAAATCAACCTGATGGACAAAAAGTATCATAGAATACTTAAAGAGATTTTTACCCCATATCATTGGCAGCGAACTGAAAAAATAAGTGCGCTACTTTAAACGAGAAGTAGATGAAAAATACCTTCCAGCGTGATAAGATTCATGAAAATCAAATCAGCAGTTCGCGGTAATGCTTCTGGCAATGATATCATACGTACGGCGAAGCCAACTTCACGAATGGCAGCAACAGCTTCCTTTTCCAACATTGAATCACCCAATCCAAAATTTGCACACTGTTCGGCAATATCACTGCAAATGAAATTTATATACTTTACATAAATTACTTTTCGCTTGATGTATTTAATTTAATGCTTAGTTAACGGTACGAATTAAAGTGTGGTCATGCAAGAGTATTGTGAGTATACTATAGAGCCCAAATGATGATGAGGAATTGGACTAAAACGATTAAAATTAGCAATTCCGAGTATCAAAAACTTGGCTAATGATTGATTAAATGCAACAATTTCATAGCTGAAGTCCATGTTCCTTTTACGAAGTCTGCTAATATCTATTAATTTATTCTTCCTCCGCTCAAACTATGCTTGAAGGTATTGTGGGGAAGAGAAATATTAATGAATATTATTAGCTTGAATTTACAAGCCTTAGTGGTTGCAATTTCACCAAACATGATACTTTAACATATCCGAGGTTTGTGCTGCTGATAATGCTGATATTGGCACTTTCTTGCCATTATTGCTATCTTCCGAGCTGGATTCTATGCTGGAGCCATCCATTTGCTCACCACTGTCTATTAACAAACATCGATTTTGCACTGAAAGCATGCGATTAAATTAGACAATTATATTCGGAAAATCAAACAATTCAGTCAAGAAGACCAAAAAATTACATTCAAAAAAAGAAAAGACGAAACAATTACATTTGCAATGCTGAGCGATTACATCCATTAATAAAATTAACAGATCCGAGAAATTAAGAAGGGTAGAATGGAAACGAAACACTTCATTCGAATGAAACAATCATGCTAATAAATTTTGGAAAAAAAACATAAAACATGAAGGGAGTGAAGAACATTGGAACGATTCGAGAGCTATGATACTATGTGAATGACCTGCGTTGACAACAAGAATAACCTACTAATAGTACTTTATATTCAGGTCCAATAAAGCCAGGAAACTACTACTCTATATTCAGGTCTAATAAGGCCAGGAAATAGCAGTAACTGTAGTAAGTCTATTGTAAGAAGTCTACAAGAAGGGAACGAATACACCATACATCCTAATCGATTCCTAATCACTACAACCCGAATGCAGCCCTATCCATAATTTACCCGAAATCAGTCTTTAACCGGAATTCACCCGAAGACAAATAACGGGATTAACATCGCTACACGCTTGATGTCTGATTCTCTCAAAATTCCACATTAACTTTTATTGCACTTCCTTTGCTGCATGGATTTTTTTCTTTTACTCTCCAAGTGTTTGGAGGTTTGACTTGTGAATACGGATGTTCGGGTTGTACAGTTAGTAGCGGGATATACCGCTAGTATCATTGTTCATTCATTTATCATATTATTATTCATTCATTTATCATATCACTAATTCATTCATTTATCATATCATTATCCATTCATTTATCATATCATTAATTCATTCATTTATCATATCATTATTCATTCATTTATCATATCATTATTCATTCATTTATCATATCACTATCCATTCATTTATCATATCATTAATTCACTCATTTATC